GAATTTTGATATCGCCAACTGACGTCTTGTCCAGTGTTGATTGCAGTTGTCTGTAGAATTCCTCCTCCTTCTCTTGCTCTGCATTATTTGTAGGTGCACAGTGTAGCATTGTATGATTGTGACCTTCGTTCCTTTTGAGTTGAATCTTGCTGTCGTTATCCTGCAGGAGGAGATTGGTTCCCACTGCATGAGAGCCTTCGATACTCTTGGTGAGTGACATCATGATAGCCACTCAACAACTCAGTGTGCTCGTGGTTGTCTTCTGGGTGACAATGTCGGAGTGAATTATTGATTCTCTAGTTGACAGTTTGGAGAGTCCATTTCCATTTCATCTGCTGATTCCTAGCACTTCAATGCAATACCTTCTCATCTCGTTTGCAATCTGGGCAGCCTTGCTAGGTTCATACATGGTGCGGACATTCCATGTCCCCACGTTTACCTTTGCTTTCATGGGAGAGAAGAGAAGAGAAGACACATCGGCCAATTGGCTTCCCGAAGACAGGCTTTCACCAACCGGCGTCATTTCGCCTCTCCGATTCCAGCGAGGAATAATTTTGTTTTCATTTTTTTGTACTTTGTACTTTTGTGCTTTGAAGTTTCTTTAGTGGTTGGATTGGTTTTACGGCGGTAGGGTTGCTAGCCCTATGCCCTACCTTCCCTCTTTACCCGGGCTTAGGACCGGCTAGTAACTAATGAACTAGTTAACCAGGCGAGGTTAAGAAACTACTTCATTTGAAAATAGGGTGCAGTACAGTAGGACATTTGTTCCATTCGACTTCTTGATATATTTTGTCTTCAGATTTTCGCTTCCATTACTGCAATCAGAACTAACTATATATTTTTAAAAATGTATTGTTAACTTGGAAGCCCTTGAAAAATTTGTTGATGGCTCCAGCCTCAGCCAGTTCTTCGTATACAACAAGTTGTATTACAGCTTTATAAACATTATTGTCATCTTAGAAATTTGTAGTTTGTTTCGTAAACTATTAAGATTTCACATACCACTGAGAAAGTTGCTGGTTGAACATTGAGATATTAGTTGGAGTTTGTTATAAAGTGACTGCTGCTTAAAAGTACCAGCCAATGAAAACAGACTGAGTAATTCTAAGGTGAATTCAATTCTATGCAATTGTAAATCCTTAAGGATGTCAAAGACATAGACTGTTAAAGAATCCTTGCATCTGACAACATAATTTGCTGTTTTTTCACTGACAACGACTTGTTTAGAGGATCCTTTAAGCTTAAGCGAAAAACTCAATCCACAACAACGTAAGTTTTAATGGATTACATGGTCTGATATATAAAGATTTAGAAAGCTTCAAAGCATATATAGCGATTTACTTACCCTTAAAACAATATGTAAACGGAATATATAAATCATTGTTGAAAGTCTTGTTAGGCTTATTCATGTTTATATTATTCATGAAGTATTGGAAAGACATCATCGATATAAGGCCTGGTATAACTTTGTAATCATCCCCTAAAAATGCATCTGCGACAAGATAAAACAGAAAGATAGAAAGTAAACTTTCCAAAAGACAAGAATTGGACGTGATGTCTTTAAAAGGTAGCTCACCTTGAACTTTGAAATGATGATTGGTGTTAACATATCCATCTATAGGAAGGTTCAGCACTTGCAAAATACTTATTTCATAGGAAAACTAAGCTACAAAGCCTATCCGTTGAGAGGTACGATTTTTTCTTACTTTTGCAAAACGCTGTCAGTGTCAGCCAGCCTCAATAAGAATGCGTTTATTTTAGAATCTGAAAAAGCGTGAAGGTTTGATGGTTTGATTGAGATCAAACCTGAAACGTGTCAAGTTGATTCGAGTTTCCTTCTTTCAAGCTATAGTTAGGCGGCAAATGATTAACGAATCCAAAACCTCTGAAACTATTTCGAGTAGACAAACTCCGTTGTGCTTATGAGGATTTTAACCTTTAGTTTACTGAGATAGTCAACGGTCGGAAATAATTGAAGAGAATTCTGTCAAACTGCAGTACTCTGGATAATAACACCAATCTCTTGGTAACCAACCAGGTTCTGCTATTTTGCTCATTTTCAGATCATATATAGCCTTCCAACTTCATTATGAATTAAACGCCTTGTAATAATAATCTACTGAGGTTATGAATAAATTTTCATCACATGAATTACTCATATTTTCGGCTTTTTGTAGACAGCCTAATAGATGTAGGTAGTTATTCTTTGTTTCATCTAGACTGCACTCAGTGGTTTCGCAGTTATGTATCACAGTTATACGTAGATGTAAAATTCAACAAAACAGTACCAAGTAAATCATAAGCTGGGGTTACTTCCAAAAAAGCATTCTCCTATATGAGACTAAACCGTCAACATTCAACTTCAAAGTCATAAGAATTGGTCAATCAATCTCCAGGTATCCGAAGTATGAGTTGTACAGATATTATTCTTCCATCAAATAATGTCAGGTGGATAACCACAGTTCCGTCCTACTTGTGTTCCTAATCACGTAACACGAATCTTTAATTTGTAATTTCCTTGGTTTGTTCAGTAAGCATTATTGTCCTATTTGATGCAGGATTAGGATGCAGAAAGCTCCAACATATAGTTTACTAAACTGATGTCAGTCCATGATGAATACTAACCTGAAAAGTCACTAAATCCCCACAAATCCCCAAATTAGACTTAAAAAAATTTTGGAAGCTGGAAGTTATATCGCAGTCTCTCAAACAGTTACCAATAGTCAGACTGTAACAAGATAGGCAGAAAAGTATTGGATGTATGGTGTTAATAGTGACAGGTGATAAATTAAAGGCATAGACAAAGAAGGGGAGGAATGATAATTCTCAAATAGGTTTCTATGCTAGCAGAATCATGCAAGTGTGTGGTGCTTTCACAAGTTCATACTGCTGAAGCTGATGTCAACTTAATGTACCTGAAACGAAAAGTGGTTAAAGTTCCAGAAATGTCTGCCTGAATCAAATCATAAATGAACTTTAGGGTAATTTTGACTGTTGTGCAGTTGTTTCTGTTAATTACTTGAAATATAAATCTTTAAGACAAGACAAAACACATTTACTTGGTGCGATCTTTTCTATTGCCTCCATGAAATTTGATAGTAGCATAACTGAAGTGCTTTCAGCTTAAGACAGACATCGTACTACCATCATATCCCTGTCTAGCTGGCTGTTTAGCTAAATTCAAGGTCTTTCATCCCATAGAGCATTATTCCCGTCATCAGGTAGGCTATTTTGTAGCTAATAATGTGTAGCCCATCTTTCCAGAATCAAATGATTTCACTGGCTCAGTCAACATAGATCTATCCAGAAGGTGGTTAGATTTTGAACTTTGATTACTGCACTTGACTCACAGGTCAAATCTATTCTTAAGTCTCAAGGACTGAAGCTCCACTATTCTACTTACAAGTGAACAGGACTTTCATTTATGTTATGTTGCATATCAGGATTCATCAATGTCGAAGTACCTTCCTAAAACTGTTATGATTCCAATACAAGCAACAAGAACACACTGTATAAACTGTAAAATATCCGGTCTACTTTCGCAAGTTGTTTCTTGAGGTTTAATCGTTCTCCTCTTCATTTCGCTACTTGCTTAAAAGTTTTGTTGACCAGCCTACCTGTTATCAGTGTTTTTTTTGGAACAAACGTATGTTCCTTCACTAATGTTTTCAAAACGACTGACATCTATCTGTCCTTCACCTACAAACAGCCATATGCACCTTGTTTTATTCTTTGAATCAGCACCTTGAATAGACTCATTAATATTTTAACTCATGGGACCTTCTGCCAGTTAGTATATTCGTTGAGATGTCAGTAAACATTTGTGATACAAAGCCTTCATACCCTTGGAATTCTCTAAAACGATGCATCCAAGACGTAGCTGTATGACTTTCCTTTTTTATATTTTCTGCGCTTAATTAATGTCCATTTGAATAAAATTTATTTAGATAGATGATCTGTTATCATTCTCAACCTATAACACACTCTTAAAGGCATATAAATCTCACAGATTTTAAATTAAATGATATACGAATTAAATTGTCACTTCAACAATATCTTAGCCTAATGCCTTACTCTGCCTCAGTATCTGCGCTTTGTTGTTTGCCTATTTCAGAATATGTTTTCGACGATTTTACCACAAAAAAGGCGAGTGATAAGGTGCTACTGTTTCCTCAACCTTTTGAATCTAATAAATACACCTAATGCAACAGTGACCACCTCATCCAACTCAGTAATCGAGAAAATTTTCCACCTATTTTTCGAAACATACTTGCTACCGATAGAAAAATATTTAGAGGCTACTCATCCTGATTTGTAGATTTCACTAACCAGATCAGGTTAATCTAAACACCTAATGCCCGTTTGACTCGTCTGTAGTCGAAATCATCAGCTGACAAACTCAGTAAATTGTTCAGGCCACCTGGATCATTGTTAGCTGACTAGATGGGCTTATATACCTTAAATAAGACGTTCAACTGTCTACGGATTTTACGTTTAATGTTAGGATTTCTCATAGTTGGGTAGTTTTCATCTACTAAACTAAGGTGTCAACAGGGTTTCCCTTGGAAGCCACCAATTTAACCAGCGAGATCTGCAAATCAATGTGAGTGATATCTAGCCACTCATGTTGTTTAGTGGCATGTTTTTTTCCCCTTGTGACGCCTTGTGTCAAATATCGCGCCTTATAATCTTGGCTGACGGGTGATTTCCAAAGAAAACCTTGTTGATACAACCGTTTACCAGCTGAAAAACTACTCACTTATGAGAAACATCAATATGGGCTGTGTAACTGGTGAAACATTCGCATCTTATTCTTGAGATTACATTTTTTATAGTTCCTAATGTAACCTCATAATGCCACTATCTTACATCAATATTTTCATGGTTATTTTGACGAAGTTTGTTTGATCAATGCTACCTACTTAATTTTAGATTAAGTAGCATACTTATTTTAGTAAAATAATCACGAATATATTTAATGATACTTTTATTTTTTGTAGTGCTCTTGGTCAGAATCCTTTACATTGTGATTGTACAGCTAAGTGGTTGAACAGTTACTTTCGGCAACATTTCTTAGATAATGGGATATCTCTTTGCTATAGTCCACCAAACATGAGACTGAAGTCAATATATCACTCAAAACATGAAGATTTTATTTGTCCATGGAAACAACAAAGTGAAATAAATACAAGCTCATCCACTAATGATAATGAAAATATTCTATACTTTCCAAGTACAAAACTTCCGTCACAAAATGATCAACAGAATCGTTTGAATGTTTTACATAGTTCGAAAATGAATCATGATGTGATCGAGAGAGAGAAAGAATCCTTACTTATTACAGCAAAATGTATGCCATGTTTATTGAATCCATGTCAGAATGATGGGACTTGTTTAACACTTTCTCAATTAGATTATAAATGTTCATGTAAACCACCATATCACGGTAAAAACTGTGAACAAAGAGACCATATCTGTTCAACGAATCCATGTCAGAATGGTGGGTTATGCAAGATAACAGCTTATCCTAGTTCATATAAGTAAGTAGTCCTAAACATTTTCACTTATATTTTCTTTGTTTCAGTCGGTATGATTAAAACACTTTTAATGGAGCTCAACTTACTGCGTCACCTAGTAACTCCAGTTACACGAACAATGGGATGTGATGCAGAAGTCTACATCCATATTCATTTACATTAAAGGCTCATCAAAAAAGCAACATTCAGCCAGCAACCATTTGCACCTTCGTGCAGTAGACAATTAAGTGCACTTCTATCAGGGTCTTTGACACAATCTAACTGCCCTGACCTCAGTGAGTGGAGAGGCAGTTTTTGCATGACTTAGAGTTCACTAAATGTTCTGCTTCTTAACTTTTGCAGTAATTATGATTTCAATAAGACCTTAAGACGAGTGATAAAATGGTCATCTAGTATCTTAAAAACACTTCAGCTGATTGTACTAAGACGAAGTCAGAGTCAGGAAGAAATTCATTTCTGGTACCAGGTCAAAGCTCAACAAAGTAACTTTGTTTCTGAGATGTAGTAAGACTATAGGTTTCAAATTTATTCACATGAAAATTGAAGACGTCTCAAACAAAGCAGCAACTGTAGACAGTGATGAAATACAAAATGAAATCTCGAAATAGGAAAGTCCTTGACGAACAAATCTCTTTCCTGCGATGTCATCCTCAGACCGATTAGTAGCTCCATTTTGCAACATTTGGTTGACAGCGAGGACATAGTTCTTGAAGGTCCCTCTCAAGTAGCCTACATAGTGAAACATAATCTTCCAACGGCTGTGAGGAAACGTTTTTTCACATTACTGAGGCCATAACAGATACAAAAGGTGGAACTAGAATTTTGTATTCATGTACAACTTTGCCACTCAATGTCCTTGTTCCTAATCCCTTTTTATTCTTCACATTATTTCGTAACTGCTTTCAACTAAGTTACTAATTTCTCATTTTTTTTCCTCTCAGAAAATTGCTTACTCATTTTGTGACAAATTTTTCAGTGTATTGATTCAAGCTTATTTATTCATGTTGTCAAAAATCCTCATGTTTCGCATATAACTTTCATTCGTATGTTATTTTCTTAACCGTAGCCTAGTAAGAGTTACTGATCAAGTTAAAATGCACTCCTAAACCGCATGCATGTTCTTGTTGTAGGTAATGAGCCACACCTCTTTTGTGTAGGGTGTGTGGATACCGGTACGTGAAATGGGGTTTCAGCCTATAGTTCTCTGGTTTAAAGCCAAGTGCTTAGATAAATCAGTTACAGATCCACATAATAGTTGATTCCTAAATATTTACATCTTTCATTTATAAGTATTAGTACACATTATATTTTAGTGCGAGTGTCCAGCTCCTGAGGTAGGAACCACAGAGGGCGAATTTGTTCAACAAAGTCTTCTTTCTTTTATAATGACCTGACAAAGAAAGACATGCACACACAGTTACACCACTTTAAGTTTTACGGAGTCAAATGTGAGAACTTGGTATGTTATATAACTCATCTTGGTATATTCTTGTGTACTGGGTTGCGCTTTTACGTAAGCGCTTGTGATATCATTCAGTTGCTAACTTTTATGAATAATCCACTTTTCTATGTATAACTTTACTAAAATTCGATTCATCTTACAATCATTCTATTAGATTATCTAAAGTCAAATATAATATAACAGATATTTTATCTTCAAGTATTCCAAATGTTTCTACTAATCATATTTCTTCGACGTCTTCTATAAACTGCAGCATCTCTATGAAAAACTGAAAGAATAAATAAATAATCGGTATGTTGAATCCCCTCACTTAACATCAGATCAACAGGTCTACTTATGTTCTTTCATAGGAATAGTCAGTGACTGTATAAAATCTATAATCAGAAGCTGTGAATGAAAACCCATAGTTGCAGTAAACGCTTAAGTGTAACTTTGATCTGGGTACTGAGTTATGCAATAACTACCTGGAGGTTAAATTATGGTGATCTAATTTCAGTGAATCTAAAGTATTGTACCTTGCATCCTGTACTTCACTACTAACTAATTTAAGTAAGATAATTTGAAACTAAAATAGTCATCTAGAGTATTAGTTACATAGGGAAAATGTCATTATTAGTTATAGTCCCATGTGAAAGGTTCAACAATTCACATTACTGGATAGATAGATTATCTAGCCCTCGCTAACGGTTACTCTCATCAAAAAATCAATGAATCGGACAAATGAACTGATATTTGAAGCAGTACTTCGACTGTACTCACTTTTAGGCCTCATAGCTGTTGAATAAATTCCATTTGATTGGAAGTTAAGAATCCAATCAAGAACAAAGTTAGTCATTCTTTTTTACATGAATAGCAATTTTTCTGTTTCATAATCTTCAAAATATATATAACTGGTCCTTTCTCATCACCAGTCAAAAATAATTTTGTGAAATATAAGCGATATGCACACGAGATTTAGAATATAATAATTTAGCACATTAGTCTATAATAGAACAAATGAATTATCTCTACTTTTCTTCACTAGGTGTTGGCCGATACTCTGTTGAGGGGAGCTATAGCTTTTAGCCGACGGGTCATGGGTTTGGATCCAGCCACCAGTACTGATGTTTGGGCTACCAAGTAGTATCTGGCTGCCCGTTGCGTGAAAGTATACAAGTTTACTGAGTGGATTTTCACTCATTTCGATTCATACTCTGTTAAATAATTATTGATTGGATAGTAACTTAAGTAACGCTAGGAACTTCACCTAGTGTTGTTCCAAGTAAACTAGTTCGGTAACCCTACTACAGCCTAATCCCCATAAATTATTATTTTAAAAGAAGTAACTTACCATAGGAAATTAATTCATTAGTTTATACGGCATAGAAAATATTAGATTATGATTTGACTATCTAAGATAGCCATAGTTTGGCAGACTGGTATTTGTACTGAGTGATGATTAGAGGTGAGATGAAAATCTGGACCTTCACTCATCACCCAGTATAAATACTAGTCTGCCAAATTACGGCTATCTCAGGTAGTCAAATCATAATCAATATGATGCTCCCCCTCTCTGATTCACTTAGATTTGGATTGGGATGAGAAGTTCTGACTAGGCAGCCAGTGTGAATACGATTCAAGCGGTAGTAACACATCACTAATTCACATGTTAGTCGGGCAAAACCCTTGGTGATTGAAGGGAAATAAAATTCTGGTCAACTTTGGACCTCATAGCTCAGTTGGTAGAGCTCTGGGCTGGTAACTCGGTGGTCGCTGGTTCGAATCCTGCTGCTGTCCAGATTTTCATCTCACCTTCAATCATCACCTAGTACAAATATTAAATTGCTGAAGAACTAACTGGTTGATTAAAAAGTAAAAGAACTAATCATGCGTCTCTCCTTCAAATGAAAATGTGGAAGCTTCGTCAACTTTTCTACCTTCTTTCTTTGGGATACTAATAATTAGTATATCTTCAGTAGGTTTTGGCCATTTTACCACTGAAATTCATTTCAATAGATCTTTCTAATCCAAAGCATTAGCAAACCTATCAGTTCAATAACTACGAGGATTCTAAACATTGTGCAATAAAAAGCTTCCAGTAATGCAGTAGCTCAAATGATTTCTGTGTGCAACCAACTATTTATTTATTTTAATCACTTCATCAAGTTTGAACTTCAAAACATATGACCTTAGATATTCTAAAGGTTATGCATAAATTAGTTTTCATTGTAATCCCACTAACTTTGGGAGGTTTCGTGTCAAAGTCTGACTCTGAAAACCAGTTATCATGTTATTTTTTGTTTTTTGTGTAGATAATATTCCAACCCTGAGGTATAAATTCGAATATGTAGTTAGTTTTCAACTTACGGAACATGCTACTAAATAATTTGAGTAGGTAGAAAGCACTTGAGCTTACCTGTAGATTTTACCAGTCAGATCGAAGTGATCTCATCACCAGTGGGTTGTTTTACTCGTTGGTTGTGGTTGATCTGATCAATGGATTACCCGAAGAAATTCATCCCACTAAGACAAGTTGTTCAGAGCACCTGAATCTGGCCATCTGACCCGCATGAAAAAGCATACCTAAAGTAGAATGTTCAATTTCTAAATGACCGACAAATTGTACGGGCCACGTTGATGGTGAATGATTTCCAACGGAAATCTTGTTGACACCACAAATGGACAGTTTTAAATCCACTCAACTATGAGACACGCCCACATGCATAGCGTAGTCTGCAAGTCATTTTCAAACTGTTCATTCTATTTTAAGTTGCGAGTTTCTTAGCAAGAAACGGTACACAACTTCTTCGTTAGCAACTGCAATACAATTGAAAAACCTTAGTCCTTGCAGAACAGATGGTTTTTAACTCATCCAAGCAATCTCCTGAACTGTCAAGTATCCAACAAAGTTATTTCTCTAATAAAATTGCTATCCTAATGAACATTTTTATCGATAAAATGGGTGCTTTCCTTTTTTTCTTTTTGAAATCTTTAGATGTATCTGCCCATCAGGTTTTCATGGACCTACCTGTGCCAAACAAATAGAAACTTGCAAGAATAACGTTTGCCAAAACGGTGGAACATGTGAAGCACTGGATAACGATTATCGATGCCACTGTACAACTTTATTTCACGGTTAGTCACCGTTATGCTTATTCTGTAACAGGAAGTAGGCAAATTCTTGGTTGTATTGTGTTCTGTGAGCTATGTTGTTTAATCGTGAAGCTTTCACTGTCTTTATGGACGACATCATCAGCACTAACTTCAGTATGCTTCATACTCATGATGTCGTCCATAAAGACGACGAAAGCTTCACGAGTAAACAACACAGCTCACAGAACACAACACAACCAAGGCCATCCACCTGAGCTACAAATATTCTCCATTATTTCAAGTAGGCAAATTCATTTAATATAGTAGCACTCATTTATAGAAAAGATTCTACTAAACTCAGATGTAAGGATGAAACTTGAGAACTGGAGTAGAGTATAAGTCCATACTGTTTTAATCTACTTTATTTACCACATATGGATACTGGACCATTTAGTGGATGACGTTTCTAACACACCTTGTTGCTTATTTTCATGTCAACTTCAGAAAACTCCCTATCTTAGTTTTGATAGTCTTACTGAGTTTCATACTTCAATATGATTCCTAGTAAGATTTTCCACAAATCTGGAATTAGTGTTGAATCATTCCTATCATACTTGTTAGGCAATGAATCGATGACACAGAGATTAAGGGATTAACCTCTCCCTCCAACAAACCATATTGATCTTCGAGACTTACTCTATTCCATTCCATCTTGTGGTTGTATTTCATCGCTTGTATACCTGGATACGTCTTTAAACCACTCATCTTTATAAAGTATACCAATCTAGAATTATCTGGGTTTCTATGTTCTGTTGATTTGACTGACCCCATTTGGCTAATTATGCCCAAGTATTTGAGCTCACAGTCACTGCAAGAAAGTTGGATGATTTTCTTGATCTGAATATGAGCGGTATCAAGTAATAATAATGTATCACTGTGTCTTACATAGAATAGACAAATCTATAAACGATGATGTAATTTAGCTACTACATCTTCAATAAGAACTGTCGTACATCCATAAAGGCAAAGAACTCGTTAATATTTATTAATTGATTCAATCAAAAGATAAAAGAATTTCAGTACTTCAAGTTTATCTGCTTACTATCCCTAGGTCAATTCAAAGTATACTAATTCCTTCAATACGGCTAATTAGAATCATGTAGTTGGAACAACTTGGTAACCTTAGCTAAATCGTTTTACTCTGGTGCATAAAGACTGTTGAAGAGCGTTTAGGTCAACTGTGATTGGTTAGCAAGTATATATGGTGATTGTAAAAAATCTCTATGCAGTACTAAAGTTTCAGCCTTGCAAATGTGACCGTGTCATTTATGTCACACTTCATCACGAAGCAACTAAATTCCTAAATGGGTCACAGATGAAAGACAAAGGTGGTCTATTATGTGCGTAGGGTTCCGGTCTTGACTTGGAGATAGATTAAAGATTATGCTTTCAGCATAAGTATGACGGTAAAGCCAAAGTTATTTTTGCCAGTTAACGTTATGTAAGTAACCATCAACTACAATTCCTAAAGTTCACAGATAGTTGGCCAAGGACTGAATTTTAATTTAATTTATTAGTATAACACACCACCAAAACTTTTTGAATTTGTACAGAAGACTAAAAGCTCAAGATAGGGATGGTAACTTTATGTTTTTTCCAGCTTTCAGAACTGTTTCTGAACGTTTCACCACTAGGCTAATTGACTTCATAACCACCAAATTCATAAAATATTGAAGTACTTTCAGGTTTTATGAATGTCTGTGAAGGATATTTGGGCGACTTCAACGTCGTTGGCTTATGAGTGAAGGGTGACAGGATAGTTCAAATAACAACAGTTATAAAAGTCAACATCAGGTAAAAAGAAAAGGTCAAATATCTTTCTGCGACACTCATGCTACTTGAGAATGAGTCACTTCTTATGAAGTTAATCCCGATGAACTCCCCCAGTCTGCTGATCAATCATGCAAGGACAAACTTCAAAGCTCGGAGAACACCTGTAAATGTGTTGAAACTTTATTTATTTTCTGTTGAGAATCAACTCGCATCCTTCAAAATTATACCCCCTGAGTAATATAAATCATACATGTAGTACCTTACGGTGAAGCATTTATAAACCACTAGTACACATAAAAAGAAAGCCCAGTACGCATAAATACAAAGAAAAACTGTATATTATCCAATTGCTGGAGTACTTTAATCTTAAATATCATCGTCTCTGGTTCTGAATTCATAAGTATGGCAGATATATACTCATTAAGAAAAGACTTATCAATCGATGTTGGTTGGTAATGAAGACTTTCCTCAAACTGTTTACAGCTGCTTTTCAATCTTTTCATGTTTGCAGTTATTTTTCTTGGCGTTGGAATTAAGTAATCAAAACATTCCTTGATTTCATCTCATTACATAGGTTTTATTCAGTCACATGCCATCATCTAAATATTTTGTGATAAGTTAACTTATGCAATATGATAAATACACTTTAACTGAAAGGTCTTAGCCTGTTTAATCTAACATTTTGGTACAAAAAGAATTAAATGAATGGGAAATATCTCAATGGTAGTGTTCATCGTGAACTGACATCAATTGGAAGACCATCGAAAACTTAAGATCGTTTGTTGGCTGTTCTTTCCTACTTTTCGACTCACCAGCAGTACGCATCCACTACATGACAAGAGATCAAACACAAGACTGACATGTCTTGAAGCCAGCACTTCACCATTGGGCCATTGAGTTGGAAACAATGTTCCACATTTTCTTATTCCTTTTACTTCATTATATAGCACATTCATCATTCATTGTCAGAGGGGAGCATTAGTCTCGGCACCCGACTTGGCTGACCTCGCAGGTCGCAGCTTCTCATTAGAACTCTGGAAGATTCATTTCAAAGTAGGTCACTAATGAGCATCAGGCAGTAATTCGGTTTAAAGGCCACGCCTCATCGTGAGTTGACAGACTCAGCAGAATGTGAGTCACTGTATTCCAACCCAACACCTGAATGGTGACATGCTCGACGTGATACTTTATGTTCCTGAGTTCCATCTCTCACAAGATAGTGGGTGCAAGCTGATGGGCAGTCGCAAACTAGAGCGAAATAGTTTTCCAGTGCTCCAAGGTTTTCAGTGGTTCTCCAACCGATGCCAATCTGTAGTAAGTGCTACCTCAAAATCAATCGATCCCTATAAACCTCAAAACAGAAATGAAGAATATATGACAATAAATCAGACTTGACATTTTTCTTATCAAGAATAACAAGGTTCTAGAGTAGGTATGAAAAGAATGGAAACTTCATATTATTATCACACACTGATTTTGTAAGTTTTGAGACTAAAACAGTGAGTGAGTGAGTGAGTGAAGCAGAACAAGTTTAAACCAACTACGGTTAAGCTAATAATAATATTGAGGCGATTAGTCTTGAGTGCAAGTTCCACTGAAAACAAAGCCGCTCACTGGTAGGTAGATACATCCTGCTGACGAGTCCCAAATAGGAGGAAACCAGCGTCCTTGGTCCCACTGCTAACCACCACCGATCATTAAGTAATACTCATAGTATAGTATTAGTAGTATAATATGGATATTAACGTGGAATATTCTCCACTATAAAATATAAAACAGAATAACTTCAGCCGGCATTTTTTGTCATATATTCCTTATTTCTTTTATTAATCTGTAAGCTGAGACCTGAATAATGAATCGAACAGATTAAGATCTTTAAAGGAAAGAATGTTCGTTTCAGTTTTTCTATCCGCTTACTATTCTTTTTCTAGAAGGATATAAGCAGCTGAAGAAAATGACATGATCTCACCCAGGAAATTGTATTTCAACTAAACTTTTTAAATTTTTCAATGCGAAAAGGTGCACGTGGCTTTCTTAAAATATTTAACCTGGCTGTCTATTCAATATAAAAGTAGGGCCTAGTTGAAGAGGATAGTAAGTTTCTTCATTGAGTAGTGAGACGGTAGAATAATTTTTAATATTAAATAAGTATAGATGTGACGTCAAAGCTCGGTCGAATCATTGACGAAGACTTACAAGCTATCACATCAAAAAATATACTATATCCATTGTACAAGGAATGGTTATAGTGGCTCAGCGGCCTAGTGGATAACACTGTAGCGTTTGCTATGGTAATTACTGGGTTCAAATCTTGGTAGGAACAACATCGCTCACTGGGAAGTAGGTAAAAGACTCACCTTTTATTCCAATGATACCTACTATCCATCATTGGCTAAGTGTATTCAGAAAGATTGCGAAGTGATGAAAATAATTCATCTGTTGACAGAATTGAATACTGAAGATATATAATCACATATTTCTTGTCATATCAATACGAACTGAAATCTTTCAGGCTATCTTTCATTGGAATACAGTTTCAGCTATAAACGACTGTGAGGAATCATTGTGTATTTGATTACCATCTCAGCTTACCGTGACATCATTTAGTAGTTGGTGTTTGTAAAGCGACGTCTGTATCAGTGTTTGGACTCACCATCTTAAGTGTTTAAACTGACATTCTCAACTTCAATATACTCAGATTATAGGATGGATTCCTCATGGATTCTGAAATTTACTGAAGGCAATCTCTCATCTCTGATTTTCGACAATTGTACTGACAATCACCTTCTTACGGGATTGAGACTCTTAATTCATCAATCAGTGAAAAGCTGAGTCTTTTTTTAATAATTCTGTTTATCAGTTAAGCTGCATTCACCAAATCTATGTGGTACACAACCTAATGATTTAAGTCGAAAGGGCAGTTGACAGATATGAATTGACTAACGAATAACCAGTTTAGCAGAAAAAGCTCTTTGGTTTGAGTCATGTAACAACTCACTAGTTTTTCTTACTTCATCCCTAATCGCAGCAATAAACATCCTAAACAAAATATAACCTATCAGGATCCATAAATTCAGTACAGTTTTTATCACGAGCTTTCAATGAAACCGCTTTATTTATCCAGCAATAGTTCCTGCATATTTTTATCTTTCCTAGGTAAGAAATGTCAACATGAATATATTTACTGCGAAGAATTAAATCCATGTGCAAATGGAGGAAAATGTGTCAGCTTACCTAGGAATAACTACAGGTTTGTTATTCGTTACAATTATTTAACTGCTGCTTTGTAAGGATTCATTGATTTGAAGGTAACTTTCATCACAGATCTACGTTAAACAAGTGTTTCTTCTTAGTTTGAAACTCATCAGTAGTGCTGACATATGACTCTGAGAGGTATTGAATCCAAAGATTGTCAAATCTCACCGTGAATTTCTTAGCATTCAATCTAGTGGCTGAATGGTAATGATTCATTAACTTCTACCTCTCTTAATTCTCAGTGTGTTACTATCATCGTCGATGGACATCTACCCCATCCTCAACTTGGTTGACCCCATAGCTCACGACTTATCATAGGAACTTCCAAAAATCCCTCTCAAAACATGTCACTGTTGAGTGAACGGAGAGTAATTTACCCGGTGGTTTGCAGGGATTCATTGATTTGAAAGCAGCTTTCATTATACCCATCGTTATCACATAATGTTTTTTTTCACATAGCTGTGAATGCCCAGCTGGATGGATTGGAAATGACTGCCAAATCAATGAAGATGATTGTTTGTACAATAGGTGCGAAAATGGTGCTACTTGTGTAGATGGTATAAATGAATATATATGCAAATGCCGTCCAGGATACACAGGTTAGTAAAGATCTATTTTTCTCAGGATTTTCCTTAAAAATATCATGATAACAGACTTCGGTATTTTCCTAATCTCATTATGAAAAACAATCAGTAATCACATAGAAAATCACCTAACTCACTAGAAATTACCTGAAATGAGGTCCAGGAATTCCGGTTAGTTACCTGAAGACGTTTACTACTAAATACTCTGAATGGTTGGTAACTGAAAGCAAGCTATTCTTTATCTAAAGGTTTCGATTGTCACAGTCTGGTGAATGATCCATATATAAGGAGTGGTTCTAAAACCGGCCACTTGTTGTAGAACAGCAGAGATGTGATATTGAATAAGGGAAGACTATATTGACGGAGTGCCAATAAACGCAAGGCTTAAATGCAACATTGAATCTCTGTTACACTGAGCAAAATGAAACCTATATGGTGAATACGTGGTTTCGGATAAATGACACCAAAATATTAAATACATAAGACATAAGGTGAGCTATAAATATGGTAACTAAGGTATTAAATTCTCGCAAGAATTGCTACACAACTGTTTGGTGCATCTGTACACATACAAGCGAAAGATGAGAACAACTTCAAGGAAAGTCATACTCCCTCAAAGATTAAAACTCACGCCTGTTAGTTTTACAGTCACCAAGTTACCTAGAAAAACAATTAAAAGTGGAGTAGTCAAACTGAAGATCATGTAATCTTTTTGATCTAAAGCCGAACAAGTTAAGCATTCAGTGCCAAACAGATGCAATTAACCAATGGAAAAATACAGGTATAGACCTTTTCTTACCAAAACAGTATGGTTAATATAAAATTTCTGGGTAAATCATGCTCTCTTCCAGCCGACATCACCAACTTTAAGCTATGCACAACCCGGAAAGTGTGAAATTATTCAGTTAAACCGCTACATATTCTAACTTCAACTGAAAAAATATATACTTTAAATATCTCAATGGTTGCAATCAGAGGTTGGGTGTAAATAAATAAGAATTCTACGGCAATGAAATACAACACACACTGCACAAGGACGAGTGAAATAAATCAATCCTCTGATTCTTAAAAGTTAAGCAGCACTTCCTTACTGTCTGCAGAGACTCTAAAATTTGTGAAGACAAATAACTTCAGAAAATCCGTTCTGTAGCTATAGCCAATAGATAAACAAAGAAAAATTAGTGTAGGACATGGAACAAATGAATACTGATCCAAACCACTATCATAATGTTGGTAGATCAGTGACCGGTAAAGCAATGAAAAGAAAATAGTTCATGTTTTGCTTTACATCAATGAATTTTAGTATATCTTGAATAAATAAAGGTTTCTAGAACGAGATAAGTTAATTTTATTTCATGGCTTCTATTTAAACGTATGCATTTTTAATTATTATGAAAGAAGAAACACGAGAAAGAGAAATGATGGTATTCGTAATCAGAAGGAATCAAAGATGAAACGAATAATGTTTGTTAAACGAAGAGAAAAAACTTTGTTGAACTTAATACGGGATTCATTTGATTGTAGGGTTTTCTAAAACTATGTACAAGCTAAGTAACACAATATATACTGTTTGATACTTGCAGTATCGAGGCATTCACTTAGAAGCCCACCTGCCAATAGAGGTCGAGCAATGGGAAGTTACAAGTTTGAGGCAACAAGTGATACCCATTGCTCAAAAGGTAGTTCTTATACCCCAGTGAGCTAGTGGATGACGCTTTGACCTTTAAGTTCTAATCTTAAGTGTGTGCAGGTACATCCAACTGATAAGTCCCAAACAGAACGAAACGTGCGCCTTGGATCCTATTGCTAGTCATGAGATGAATAGAGCATCAAAATATATACTTTATATATATATCGCTTTTCCTTCACTGTTTTTAAAGGGATTTATTGTGAAAGACCAACTTGGAATCCTTCAACATATGTGACACGAATGGATAAACCACTTAATTATCAATTCATTATTGGACGTACATCTGCACCTGGAGTAAGGCAGTCACCAATCAAAACTCGATCACTGACAACACAAAATCTCGAAACACTCTGCGCTTACCAACAGTGTCAAAATAATGCAAAGTGTGTTGAAAATCAAAATGAAGCTTACAGTTGCGTATGTCAAAATGGTGAGTAACATTCTATTCTATGAAGTAATACTTTCTGAAAATAGTTTTCATGAACAAATTTATAAGTCACTTCGTAGTGCCTTTTAGTTTAACTATAATACGAAATACTCAAGTCATAAGCTGCGTTGGACTTTATTAGACGTCATCATATTCGCAGTCAGGCTATTATGGATTGTTCTTCATTAGGGTAATGGGATTACTGTTATATTTAGTTTGTTTTTTTTGAATAAATGGACGATTTGGAGATGCATTTTACTATAAATTAGCCAACTGAACTACTATTTCGTAGTCACTGTTGACTAACTTCGAAATCCAATTCCAACAGTTTTGAACACAATCCGTGCTTTATATGGTTAGCTAAGCTAATTGAGCGTGAGGATGGATTTCCACCGATAACCTTGGATGATGGTTACCTTCATAAATTGAACAAATTTATGAAAAGTAAACACATTGTTTCTAATCCAGTCAGTATTTGCATAGTAAGGTGACAGCCACAAAATACGAATAAACTTGAGAAGATATCATAGACAATCATGAATATGCACTGTTGGTAAGTCTCAAAATAAAATGAAACAATTATTCAGTACGGTATAGTTTTCAGTGATTCCTCTATCATTATCATTTCGCAATAAAAACTGTACTCAAATTAAATTTTCCTAAAACTAATATCTTGAAGAGTGAAGTTTAACAAATCCAAAACAAGAAAATGAGTAATTCCATTTTGGCTAATTTATTATATGTATCATACCGTGAAACAGTGTGGATTGAAGGGAAAGATTGATAACTGAATCTTTGTTCATCGAATCAACACGTAATACATACAACACGAATGACTAAACACATCTTCCGGATATTTATCGAAAATCCTACTATCTATATCATAAAGAAGACAAGGACATTAAGGCTATATAAAGGATATCCCAAAGTTGTGAAGTTATCTTGATGTGATTATGTACAATAAATTGTGTTTGAAATGTAATTCAGGGAACAACACTTCCATTGTCTCATACATCTAATAAATCAACTAAAACATAATAAAATTCTACCGTGGTGCTCAAGTCTTACTCTCATATTAGTGAGGAAATAAGAATTTGAATCAGTGTAGAACATTTGTAGATTTATTTCTAAATGCTGTATGAATCAAGTTAAAACATGTCACATCATGACAGATTTGAAGCTGAAGTAAATTTACTGGAAGCTACATCTAAAAAGATAATGATTAGAGGGAGATGATATCAACCAAGAAAGATAAATTGAATGCATTCTCTGTTACAAATACGCATAACCCATAGTCGTAGCATCCTGCATACTTTTTTCATGCTAACAACTTTAGCTGAAGTGGTAAAGAACTTACTCTTCATGAGAATCCTCTTCGAAGATTGATGTATTCAAATCTAAAAATGTATACTTGTCAAATAGGAATTTTCCAAACTGAAGTATTCTTTTAATCTTTCACCTAGGTTTCAGTGGTCAATACTGTGAGCATTTATTTGCTATCAATCTACCAAGTCCTCATTCTTATGTGGCTGTAGTGCCACCAAGTCGTGGTGCTTTAGTGCCAAGTGGAACAATAAGTTTCGAAGTGGCTACAAAGTCAACCAAAGGCATTTTATTGAATTTTATTGATACAAATTTAATTAATAATGCACAAGGTATACCTGAACACTACTTATTATTAAACTTACACGATGGACAAATCCATGTGAAATTCTCATTAAATCGAAATCATACTTCGCATAATATGAACTGTGAAACAGATGTAAGTGAAATGTCAAATTATGCATTGTTTAGTTAGTAATTTATTGTTTATATAATTATCCTGATAAATTTAAACAAAGTAATAATGACTATACTTACAGGATAAAATGGACTGGTGTTGTACCACAAATATTCATTCATCGTATGTAACCTCAAATCACAACGGTCCTCCCATTAGGTTGGGACACCTCAGAGAACCTGGCAGGAAAATAAAAATGTGATGGACAAACGTAGTCTCCGTAGAGTACTGGTTCTCGCATCCAATAATCAACTCCTCCAACCGACTAATCGAAGAAGTGATGTGTGCGTTATCAGTTGACTCTTTCACAAAAGGATTAGACAAGCACAGAGATCTACTGCAAAAGGATCAACACAGGCTTATAGCCTTCCACCACCAAATAACAAATCTGAAATCTGAATTAGAACAAAATTATTCAGCCACATATCTAAACTATGATACTACAAAAGGCACTGGAAGATTATGGAATTCAAACCAGAGAGAAAGTAGTTTTCATTTATGCAACAATATCATCGCAAACTTATACGTTATGGAATAGAATATCCAATAATTAAATAAAGATATAGGAACTATACTAAAGAGACTGCATAACATCCAAAGAAATTAAATCCACAAGTTTAAACTCAATGCAGTAGATGGAGAAAGTAAGGAATTATGTTCTCAAAATGAAACAAGATCATTCATGTGCATTCATCACTGAAATAGTAGATTGATAGCACTTCGTTTCTATAAACTAAACTCTGAATGAAAAAATTATATATCAATCGGTTCTGTGAAGTGTATTATTCAAGACATTTTCAGCATATTTAGTATACTAAAAGCACTAATCGTATGGCCTCTATACAATGCTCCCGAATATTCCACGCTTATAAGTGTCAGAATAAAGGGTTTTGTAGCTAAGGTATAGTCAAATCCATTCATCTTACATGTGTATTGTCTTCTTGATCATACCACCATTTCTTAATCTTATAGTGCAGTTTGAAACGATATTTAATAAACTGCCTATCTTACTCATATCTCAAAGAGAATTTGATACTGAAACATGGCCCGTTGAGTTTAACGAACATCTGAGGTGCATAGTTGGCATCACTAAAAGAGATAAATATGTCGTCGATGTACATAATAAGTCATCCCTCGGATTACTGAACTTAGCCACATACGGTAACGATGAAGACGTCTGCCAAGACAGCTTTCCTAGGTGAATCTAAAGCACTGCATCAAACTATAAATGCACAATAGGTCATATGGTAACGATCGGTAACCAGCTATCATACAAACAATTATATAGCCTATCCTAAGCATACAATTATAATTAATTATTTGTGATAATTAAACAAGTAGATTCTGTGTTTTCAGACTGCAGCAGCCGCTAACGCTTCAGATTTTTTTAATATTAAAAATTACTGATATGTTTTAGTTTGCTTGGTGATGGTAAGTAGGAATCCAGAAAGCACGTTCCGTCCTATGTGGACTCGTCAGCTGAATGTGTCTCCCCCTAGACGGGCGATGTTGTTGCCTCATAATCTCATACGCAGTACCCATATGTTCAAACAACAAAGCGTTATCCACTAGGCCATATAACAACATAATCAATGATCAAGAGATATTGCAGCATCTGCATAGGACCTTGTATACCGACAAAAGTTTATCAGTTCGATCCAGAACAATAACAGAAAATTACAAGTATGAACAAATAACAGAAACGGCTGCCAATAAG